ACTTTAAGACTGAAACTTATACTATCACTTTTCACTTTACATTCTAAACTTCAATTTTAGACACTCTGCACCATAAACTCTTAATTTTAGACACTTTGAACTCTATACTCTCATGTTTGCCCCATTTAAATTCAATTAATAATTACATTCACAAAATTAATGAGAGAAAAAATGGTGAAAATTAATGATAATGTACTGTTTTGTTCTAACTATAATCCCTTAGTTTTTTTTAAACCATTTTCAACACATTATCATTAATTTATATGCTCTCAATCACTAATATTGTTAGCAAAATAAACGAGATAAAAGATTGTGTAAAGCAATGATAATGTATTGTTTTATTTTTGCTATGATATTTTGGCACCTTTTGACCATATTCGACATATTATCATTGATTTGTTAGGTCTTCTATACCTTTAATTTTGCTAAAAGTTATCATTCATTTGATGTAAATGTGGATAAATTTGAGAGTTTAGGGTGTAAGGTGTCCAAAATTAAAGTTTAGGGTACAATGTAAGAAAGTGATACGAGTTTGGGGGGTGCAAAAGTGGAATTAGTTCTTTCAAGTCTATTTTTTGGCAAGTTTTTATCAAGAAGAAATTGAGGAGATCTATTCAACCCTCATAAGAAAAAATTATTACCTAAAGTAAATGTGAAGTTCTCTACATTCCATCTAGTTAATGAAATGTTGCTCCCAAATTCAGGGTTTGAATTTTGGATATAGCAGTTGGGGGTAGGAAGGATGTCGGGAGGGGTGAAAAGGTCAAAAAAAAAAAGAATAAATAAAATAATATAGAACAAAATGAAGAAGTATCTATAATTGAAGATGTCCAATAGGATAGTGTTGGGGAACTATCTATAATTATGTTACCACTACTAACTACTAAGTAGCAGTAGTAGTAGTATTTGACCATGCACATGATCACAATGAATGTTCCTTTTTTCTAATACAATTGGAGATCAGATGGGTGGGTATGTGTGTCTTAGCGAGAAATGCGCTAACCGCATTCACTAAATGCAAACGTGCATGCAGTAAATACACTACATGTGTTTGCTTCAATGCACAAATAAAATATTGCACATGCATCTTCAGTGCCTAACTGCAATTTTGTTGAAATAATGAAGACCACGAACTCATTTTTTTTTTTTTTTTTTTATAAAAAAAAACCCTGAAAAAAAGAAAGAAAGAATAAAGAATGATAAAAGTTTTTTCTTTTTTCTTTTTGCCCTAGAATTTCCAAGAGCGACAGGAGAGAATGAGGGATCGGTGACTCAACTGCACTGAAGACAAAACCCAGCAGCAAATTTTTTTATTTATTTTTTAACAATAATCTGCTCTTTTATCATCTGGAAAAAATATATTAATCCTGGGAAATTGGGTAGGAGTTAAAGAAACCACCTAAGCAACTATAAATAGTTTCTCTTTGACAAACTGAAGAAAAGAAATAATTCACTTCTAATTAGATATTTATTCATTCATTCAGAAAATGACAACCGAATGATGGGAATGTCAATATTTGAAGAATTCTCTAAGATTGCTTGACAAAGCTGGGAATGTCAAACATGTCAATAAAAAATGGTTTTGGCCGTTAATTATCGGTAATGAGTTTCTTAGCATATAGTACTATTCCAAGTGATTAAGAATCTTTGTGCATTTAACGTGTCCCGATGAATCCCGGCGGTATTGCCCCCCAACATAATAAAGAACTCAGTAGCTTAATCCTGTTTAAGGAATTGAATTAGACATAAGTCATTAGGTGGTCAGACATATTATTCTGATTCTCAACAAAGACATGATTATGGGTCCCTAGGATAAGTACTTTTGGTTTATTGGAGTCTTTCTAATGTGTGGATACACGATATCAAAAAATAAAAACATATGTTAATAAGGACGAAATCCATTCAATCACTATTTGTGAACTAAACAATTCACCATTAAGAAATGGATTAATCTTTTATATACTTAGAGTGCGTACATTATCGATCTTATAATAACTAATCTCAATTTGAATTTAAAATTAAAATTTTATACGTGAAGTACTCATTCAAACTCAATAATATATGCATTGTAATTAATGTATAAAAGATTAATTAACCCTCGTGAAATACTAATTGTCTTCTTGTTCATTAACTCTCCTTGACTATAAGCTTTTCACCTAAAGAATTCACCTCATTCAGTTTCAAAAAACTTTGCAAATGCTTAATTAATAAATGTGTCTAAAAAGGGATGATTAACAAACTTTTAGGCACAAACTAATACTATTGTAATTCACTGCCAACAACATGTCAACTGTTTTATCAATGCGCACCGTTAGAAAAAAGCCAATGAGAAATGAAGCATAGCTGCTTTTAAGTGCTAATAACAAAGAACAAGAAGTCAAAAATTACAGAGCACTTATCCTGAGGATTATCCTGTTCATGATTAATGAAACATTTGGAAACACAAGGCAAGCTACCTTGTTAGTTCTTCCTCTTCCATAGACCGAATTAAAGGAAGTCAACTTTTTTACTTTGTTTTTGTTAATTCTAATTTAAAAAATATATATATATTCCAAGGTGGTGCCAAAATATAAAATGGTAGTGGTAAAAAATTCCAGTAGAAAAATCGCTTGATGTAATGATCTTTATTCAATCCATATTACTCTGTAAACTGAAAGTATAAACTAATCAAACTTTGGAGCCAAAGCTTAAATTACAACATCTCCATGCTGGAGTGATTTCTAATCCGACCTCAACACTTGTACATAAATCAAGACTCAAGTTGTTGGCATTGGATTATCCATGCAGAAGAATTAAAGATTTTTCTATTAGATCTGTTATGAAGTAATATAGCTGGTGTAGTCTTTTCCTTCTCCGATACAGGACTAGCTAGTTTTAGTCTTTTCCATTTTGTTACACGATTAGCTAGTGCAGTGTATCCCTCCAAACTTAGAGCTAGTTTTGATTGCTAGTATTTTCTAGAGTTTTTGTAATATATATATATATATATATATATATATATATATATAATTATATTAAACTTTTAGCCATGCTAAAACATGGTTATATATATTTAATTTGGAACAGAACACAACAAATGCCATTGATACGTTAACTTTAGACCTCAACGTTTTAGAAAGAAAATTGTGTACTCTACAGTGCTACAAATGTTTCATCTCAATATAATCATATACATTATGGTAAATTACCATTCATCCCCCTCTGATTTCGCAATTTGCCACATAATTTTCCAATTGTTTAACAACATCAATTTAACCCCTATAGTTTGTATAAAATTGAAAATGAATAGAAGCACCTCCATGGCATTGGTTAAATTTCCAATCATGTCTTTGCTTAAATATTAAACTTTACAAGAACCTAATCACTTTACATAAAATTACAGGGTAATCATACGGTCAAATGTGAAACCAAAAGAGGGTTAAATCTATATTCCATATTTTACCATATTCCATATTCTGGAGCGCATTTGAATCAATTGCCAAAACTAGAGGTGCTCTATGTCCATTTTTCAATTTACATAAAACTATGGAGATATTATGTGAATGTTATTAAATAATAATGGGATTGTATGGTAGGACGTGAAACCACAAGGATGTAAAACAGTGGTTTACCCAAGAAATTAATATGCTCGACCAAAAGACCATCCCAATCTGTTGGAAATTGGAATCGATACCAAGCTCTGACCAATTAGTAGTAGAATTTTTCGAACTCCCTTATTTTGATAAATAATTTTTGTTTTAGTGCACGAAATATATTTAATGCATTTCTTGGTAATTTGAATCTTGAATGGCGGTGGGTTGCACGACTTAAACGTCAAATGTGTTACTGTGATGCGGATTCCATTTCCAACACTGGACATCAGCAACTGGTACCTTGTCTCTATCACAGGCCCAAACGGAAGCACCACGCTATTGGGTTTGGTGGACTTTCAACATTACGGAATAGCAAAGCTTGTGCAATCAACCTGCCAATATCTGTCCCCAGATTAGTTGGTAAGAATATTAGTCTCGTTACTGTGATATTTCGCTTGAAATCGTCGGTTCCAGATTTCGTCTCTGTATTGTCTGTCCCATCCTTATTTAACTTCTAAGTGTATTGATTAATGCTTCTTAGAATTTTATTGTGGATAAGTACAGCAATTAATAACTCATAGGATTCTATTGGTGATAAGTCCAGCAGCGCAATACACTTATTATTAATTAAATAAAGACAGGACAGACAAGATAAATGATTTGAAGCGGTGATATTTGTGATTTGACTCTTAATGTCTCTTCTCACCTTTGGAGTTTCTCATAAAATAAAAAATGCCAACAACTAATTTTTTTTTTTGAAAAAAAAAAGATGTCAATCATTACTCATCAGTTGATAAAACAAAAAAAAGTAGGTAATACTGCCTTGAGAGCTCTTAAAAAAAAAAACCTACCTTGAGAGGAAGTTGAAAATAAAAAAGAAGATTGAACCGATAATCTTCGCGGGGGCTTCAGTTTGCCTTTTAAAGGAGGAGTTAGAAGTGGAAAAGAGTGCTGAAACGAGTCAATTAGAGTGAGAAGGGGTCAGAGGAAGGGAGGAAATGGTGTAGTGCAACTATAGCAATTAAGAGTCAAACCATGTTTACGTTTTTTCACCCTTATCTTTTACATTGCAGATTTAATTAAATAAAGAAGGAGGAGTTTGATGATATTGCAACGAGAGCGATTAGAGTCCAACGCCTATATTACGTTCTATTACCAATATAATGTTTGAACAGCTGATTATTTTTCCAAATATATTTGCTTACATCATCATTACAATTTTTAATACATCTTTTTATCTTCTCAATTTCCTTTTTATCTCACATACATCACATCACAAAAAGTGCTACAGTAAAAATATCTCAAATAACTTACAATCCAAACTATCATAAATTCTAGTTTCTCCTCATTATCTAGAACGAAATGTTTCTTAACATTTCCAAATTTTGTGCTTCAATTTAAGGACTACATGAAAATGAATGGTTTGAATTCCAGAAATTAGCACCCATTGTATTATGAGAAGCTCTTTTAACAGTTTCTTGTATGTGATGAAAAAGGTGTACATATACATTCAACATTGTAGCAAATACTACAATATCTGATAAGAATATTGAATAATAGAACTGGAGGCACCTGGAGTGGCCTTCCATATCTTACAAAAAAAAAATTTTGAAATTTTAATGAGTAGCTGCCTTCAATTGGCGAAACAGATCAAAATTTAGAGGAATGCGCAAGGCCTAATTCGCTTCTGCGGCTTTTTCTTCACTTTAGGCGGGCGCAAGGCTGCCTTTATTGCAGTATCGAACACAGCTTTCACATTCTGCAAAAATGCCACCACAACCATCAAGAGCAAGTTAAAATCTTGTCATAATATTTATTTCAGTGGGGAACAAAATCTAATTTTTGAAAAGGTAATTGAGTTTTTCAATGGAAAATATAGTTATATCTAAAATCTTGAGATTGTAGAGCACCCCTTTTATTCCATGCATACTTGCCATAATTATATACTGCTAGTAACATTTAGAATAGTGTATGAAATAATTTCGTAAGTACTAACTGAGCAAGAAAAGCCTGATCATAAGTTTTATTTCTAGGGGGATTTCAGGCTATATTATACAATCAAGAAATGTATATATGGCAGTAAAGGTATCATGTCAAGTTACCTGTTGAGTTTTTGAACTGCACTCGACATAAGCAACAGCGCCAATCAATTTCTTTAATTCCTCACCCTGGCAAAAATAAAAATTATGTCAAGAAAGATGTTTTTATGCCAAAAAAAAAATTGGAAAAATCAATATGAGAATGCATTCTAATCACTGATGCTTACTTGGGTTGTTGAAATAGGTGTGGCGCCTGGATGATCACTCAAATACTGCTTGTCTTCTCTTAAGTCTGCACTTCAAAATTAGGGGCCAATAAGATCACATCAGCCAAAAAGGGGATGAAAAAGACTAATTCAAGCTTTGAAAGGATGAAAAAGAAACGTGTGTTTTCTTTGGCCCTTAAATTTTTTTCCTTATGAAACATCTTTTTTTTTTTTTTTTTTTGTTGGTACAATGGAGGGCCTATAAGGCCCATTAACTAGATACTATAAGAGGGGGAGGGGAAAAAAAATTATAGACTTTAAATTTTTTTTTCCCTTATGAAACATCAATTTCATGTATAAATAGGTGTGGCATTGAAAAAAAAAAAATCGTACTAATATTTTATTTTATACAACTTACCGAGTTTAGTCCCCACCAGCACTATCGGTATGGTTGGCGAGTAGTGCCTTAACTCTGGAATCCACTGTTAGATATAAAGAGCAAGATTTTCAATATCCAATCCAGTGTGCAAGATTTCACTTTCTATGTTATCAGAAGTCAATTCGAAATCAAACTCCATAAAATTGCTAGTGGATCCTCTCCCTCGGTTGGAATCTCTTTTAATACGAGTTAGAATAGAACTAGGAGTAGGAGATGAGGATTGATAAAAAAAAAAAAAAAAAAAAAAATTCACTTGAGAAAGGAAGCATCCCCAGCCACTCTGGATGGAGTAGCTCACTTTGGGGTTGTGAAGAAAAAAATGGTAGAAAGGAAGGAGTATATTCAAACGAAGAGAGTTTAATTGTAACTATACTTTGTTAACATATTTTTTTTTTCATTCGAAAAGATTATATACACTTGCAGGTGTATTGGTTGGATTGTCAGTATCATAGACTTAATTTCTTGCCTCTCCTAGAGAGGATAAAACTCTAATTAACACACAACTACTCTTCCACCACCCTTACACTTACACACCTGATTCGAAACAACTGAAATTTTGTAATATCAAAGCTGTGGTAGTATTTTATTTTATTTTATTTTTTTTGCATCAATTCCTTTCCTAATCCAAATGCAAGCTTAACTTATAATAGAAGAACAGTTAAGAACCTTTTTGTATATATTCTCGTAGCTGGCCTTGCTAATGAGGGAAAAAGCTAGCAGAAATACATCGGCACCTCTATAACTTAACGGCCTTAGCCTGTTGTAATCTTCTTGACCTGCAACGCATAGATTCAAGAATATAGTGTCGCTTCTTTTTCTTGTTTCCATAATCATCTCTCAAGTGTAGAGCAATAGATAGATAAGCATTCAATTATGATCAGTACTATATGTTTTCTTCGCCCTTAATCAAGAAAAGTACAAAGTAATTCTATAATTAAGCGCTGCAACTGTGAGTTTATAAAATCATCTGTTTCTGTTTAAAAACAGAAAAAAAAAAAAGCATAGTGCAATCTATTTCAACACTGCCATGCAATTAATCTCAGCAAACCACATTAACGAGAAAGAACAATTTACCTGCAGTATCCCACAGGCCAAGGTTCACCGTACTACCATCCACCACCACATTGGCACTGAAGTTATCAAAAACTGTAGGAACATAATCCTGTCATAACACAACAGGAAAAAGAAAAAAGAAGAAGAAGAAGTGCATAATTCAGTTGAAGAAATGGAGATTAATATTACTGCTTACCAAAAATGTCAAAAAAATAAAAAGAAAAGCACAAATAATGCTAGGTCTAGATGATCATTCTGGAAATCGTACCGTCGGAAAAGTATTACTCGTATAGGAAATGAGCATGCAAGTCTTTCCAACAGCCCCATCTCCCACTGTTACACACTTTATAAATCTTGCGGTTGTCATTCTTGGTGCTCTTCTTATCAGCTGAATTCGCTAATCTAGTTGTTGTAGTGACTAACTAGCCGGTACATATATGTGCAACTGATTCCTCTGTGCTTTCAATGATAGTAAATGATTGTCTTTTACGAGGAAAACTATTTAACTATTAAGGAAGTATTGATGAAATCTTAAAGAAAATTGTAGTGGAGAGGTTGGCATTTAAAAACTCAGGCATACCACCAAGAAAATGATTGCTTTCTAGACTTTTTCTTTTCTTTGAGTTGAAGGCCAGAGGCAGACTAAATGTAGCAAAGTAGGTGTAGTGCTGGTGTTGGTTGGTTAAGTGTTGGGGAAGGGATTAGAAGCAAAGAGGATTGCTTGATTTACTAACCTAGTATGATTGTCTAAGCAGAAAATATTCCAAAAGAAGTGACCTAAAAGTGATGTCTCAGGGTGTCACCCATTACTTTCAGGCTGCCTTCCAGATCTGAACACATGTGGTTAGAAGGCTAAATTAGATTAGAGCCCATTCAAACATTTAAACCAAATTTAAAAACATACTTTGATTAAGGTGATAAAAAAAAGGACAATCTCGCATTTCTGTGTCGGAACCAGAAATTTTAATTTGAGGAGACAAAATACATATACATATAAACTCTCGAATCAGCACAAAATTTTTTAAAAATTTTGGGGATACAAATAGTATAAAATATATATAAAAAAAAACTTTTCAAAATTTCGAAGGCGAAGGCTCCCTCCCCATCTCCTAGTTCCGTCCTCGTGTGTCCTGCTTTTTCTATCTTAAACTGTTGGTATTCGAAGCACATTACGACAAAATTTATATTCCCTGTCCTGACAACTCTGATTTGTTGGTTAGTGGCTTACAATTTAATGCAATAAAAGACAAATATGAACTATTTCAACAAGAAATTGTTACACCAAAAAACATAATGATAAGGTCAAAAAATAAAAGTAGGATTAGTTGAAACCGACATTTTGATGGTGCCAAGCCCATTATGATAGACCTTGGACAGGCCTAAATAAAATAAATGTAGGTATATTGGGCCAAAATTGGGCTTACCCTACAACGACCCAAATGGCCCATATCAGTCTTGGATGCCTTGCAAGATTAATCTTGCTAGACTCATATTTCCTTTTCCTCTCCTGAAAATATTTCGTTTTTTGATTGGGCAAACCCTCTTCAAAAAGTTACTGTGCAGAATTACCTTTGGACGGAGCCCTAATAATAAGGACTCCTATTAGAACTTTGTCTTTTTAGTTGATTAAGTTTCACCCGAATTCAGTTTAACGTTCTTCAAAATCCCAAGAAAATCTCTCTTCTTCTGCTGCATGCACCTCAAGGCAAAAAAGTAGCAGATTTCCCAACTCCATCGCTAAATTACTTTAATCAAAAAGAGGTTAGTCGTCCAACGTTTTTTGTTTTTCTTATGTTGTAGGATAGAGAAATCTTTCATAAGGTTTTCTTGCTTGTTTCAAGAATTTTCCCTTCTTCTTCTTCTTTTTCTTTTTTTTTTTTATTTTTTTATTTTCGCCTAATTTCTTACTTCTTATTTGGTCCGGTCGACATGGATGTTAGGGATGCTGGATGATGATGATAACAACAGCAACAACAACAATACAACCTCGAACGAGGATGACAATAATAAAAACAACGACAAAGACAACAATGTAGAAGTCGGTAATCGCCCTGCATGCTCTGCGTGCAAGCATCAAAGGAAAAAGTGCAAAAAAGAAGAATGTCCCATGTTAAAGCACTTTCCAGCGGAGAAGGCTGATATCTTCAGTGCAGTTCACAAAGTTTTCGGCGTATCAAACGTATCTAAGATCATCAAAGTCTTAGAACCGCATGAACAGGAGAGAGCAGTCGAGTCTCTTGAATGGGAAGCATTGGGGTGGAAGAAGGATAAGGTGCATGGACCTTTAGGTATGTACAAAAGTTTGGAAGAACAGAACCTACTGATCATCGAGAAGAACCAGAAACTGTTCGAACAGAATCAGAAGTTGCAAGAAGAGAATAGATCCCTGAAGGAAGGTCTCAGATCAATGCAACAGTCTCCAACAGAGAACTGTAGTAATAACGCTGGGGTGCTAGCCGTCCAGCCTGGGGCTGGAAACGTGATGAATTATTACCATGGAAGTGGAAGTTTATCACTAGAACCAGGAATAACTAATGCTGCTCAAGTTTCTGCGGCAAGATTTTTACAAGATCAACGTGGAAGAGAAGTTTTACCTATTGCTGCTGCTGCACCATACTACGATGTAAATCATGCACAAGCAGTGCTAGCCAATATGGGAAGCCATCATGCGGGTCAAAGCAGTAGAGCAGGTTATTCTTTGGCCAATGGATTGTATAGTCACTATTCTACTACTCATCCTTCCATTGATAGGCGAAGTAGCAATCAAGTGATGCCTTTGTTTGGATACCCTAGTCCTCAACAGCTTCAATTCATCAATTCTGGTCAGAGAAACACTCCAGGTAATCTTAAATTCTTTTAATTTTTGAGCTTTTAGTCTTTCATCACCTATTCGTAATCATGGGATTTATAACAAACAATTAATCATGGGATTTATTCCACTATTTGTTTGATCACCGTATGTTTTTTCCATCTCGATTTTGCGTTCACTATTGAAAGGTTGCTCTACTTTTTGAGCTAACAATAACAACCCTCAAAATACATAGGCAATACTATTAGCCGACTATATTTTGCTATTCAGTCTGAGCAGAAAAAAATTTGTCTCTAGACCAAAACCATGCCCAATGCTACTATCTACAACAAAAGAATCCCTTCTTCGAGCTTGTTAGTAATTTAATTAAGCCATAAATCTTGAAGGTTTAGTTTTGCATAGTGAATAACTAGACATTAGTGTTTTGACAGACTAATCTTGTGACTCTTCTTCTCTAACAGATTACTTTTCTAATATTACGTTAATTACAATAATCAAGAAAACGGGTTAAAAGCATGTTGTTTTGTGTTTATCTAGGGTGCGTCTTTTAGAGGTTGATCTAGAAGTGTTTAGAATTCCGTGGTGTTTTGAGATAAAAGTACAATAAAAGACTTAATGTACTCTGGCATGTTCTGTTGAGTTGTATTCTGGTTATGAATTGCTCGGCATAATTATTACAAGATTTGCTATAAACTCTCACAAAATTATATTGTAACCATAAATTTTGTTTATGTACACTATATGGATGGAAATACACCAAATCTTTGCAAAAATAACACTAAATTCTGTAAAATTTACACGAATGAGCTATAATAGGACAAAACAAATTAACTGTCTACCCCTTTCCCTAGTCTAGACCTACCTTGTTCCCATTAACAAAATGTCTTGAGCTTGTTAAACTTTTGTCTATGCAGGTGAATCCTAATCTACTTATACAGGAAAGCAATAGCAAAGTAGTAGTTTGAGAGTTACAGACATTTTCTGACCTTTTTTTTTTGTTGTATTTTAATATAATTAAACAATTTCATTAACCTTCTAACGAAACCTAAATTTTAGGTACCTTCACCCCTAAAAAATAGACACACACGTGGTTTCTTAAAATCTAAGGCATTAATGGATAATAACTTACATTTATGTTGTATTTGTGAAATCCCAGCTCTGTAATCCTACTTATGAATTAGGTATTATTTCCTTTTTCATTTCCAAGTCCATTGACCATTGAGAATATGTGATTTTTTATCGCACCATTCTCTAACTAACTTGTGTTGGACAAAATTTTGATGATACACATATAGCTAGAATAAAATTAATGTTTATAATTTGATGAAAGATTGACACTAAGTTAAACAGTCGTATTTGATTTTTTTAGTATAGTCAATAAGTCTTTTAATTTATAAGAAAATTCATTGAACTCATAAATTTAGCTCACTCTAGTCCCAACTAGATCTTAGATTGCAACCTCTCTGATCACAATTGAAGCTCCCAAAGGAGGGGAAGGAGAGACCAATGGGGGGAAGGGAATGGAAGAGAAGAGACGGAGAACAAAAAAGGAAAAAGAAGAGGAAGAAAAGGAAGAAGGAGAAGAGAAGAGGGGGTAGGGGATTGGTGGTGGTGGTGATAGGAATTATTTTATTTTTTTAAATTTTTAATTTTATTATGTGTATTTAAAATTGTATGAATTAGATTTTTTGAAATGTATTACTGTAAACTCCACAAACAAAAAACAATCCGTAAAAAAACAACCTAGGCTCTTAAGCTTTACTACGTACCAAGCTTTACAAAGTTCACGGCTTGTAAGACAACTTACAGCTTGTGGAAAAAGATAAGCCTACGATCATACTTAAATTATACTTTTTCCATGCTATCCTTGCTGAGTTGGTTGTTTCACATTATTGCAGATAATCGGTAGAGTCATATCGCTCCGAAACTGATGGAGGATCCCACCAAGAAACAACAATGAATAATTACGTCAGATTTCTTCTTTTCTCAGCCCGGAAACGAATTTCTTTGACGCATGAAATATATAGATTTTTTTACATGAAATATGTTGCTTTAAAAATCCATTGTTGAAACTTTGTTCGTGTTTCCTATACAATCATTTTCGGTAAAACCAGCACAATTACTGCGATGTTTCTTTTCTACATCTTTGGTTCATCGGCGCAAACTTTTGTACTTGCCCATTTCATGATGTCTCAGAAGCCCATTACTGTGTCTTTCCTCTGTTGGACTTCCAAAAATATTGAGGGCCTTACTTATCCAAGACGGGCTTTTGTGAATAATGGGCACGGACCAGGTTGGTAGCCTCAAGTTTGGATCTGCCACTTCCATTATTCTCAATTACTATACAAATCCCATTATTATCAATTACTATACAAACTAATATAAATATAAATTATTTTTTCATATATATAAATAGAATAATTGTGATGCTAATTGGCATCTTAGCAGAAAATCTAATAAAATATAGAGTGTAACTTGGACTTTTTTTTTTTTTTTTTGCTAAAATAATCTTGTTTTGAAAATTAACATTATTCGAAATCATATTTCTATTCTAATGTTCTGGCTTACTCTTGTCTTCCATCCCAACTTCTTATTTTCTCCTCACTCCCACTTTTTCTTCATTTTCTTTATTGTGTTAGATTCAAAAAATGATATTTGTCTGTGAGGAACCAAACTCACTTTTTTTTTTCTTTAACAAGTTCATATAACAATTCAATTAAGAAATATTTTCTTATTTTACTTGATGTTATATGGATAAGTTCTGTGATAGTCAAGTCATACACACAAGATATAAGTTTCATCTCTGAATGTTCAACTATATTGAAGATTCTTTGAAATTTAGATCACTAACTTACACGCAACTATTTAATTAGTCTAGCAAGTTTTAATTAGTTAAAGTGGCACTAGTGCCTTTC